CAACCACAGTTCTCAACGACAGTAAAGATTTGCAAGACCAGGTTAGCTTCAAGATTTAGATCGAATACTTCAAAAACCGCGCCAACTCGGGTGTCCAGCTGCGCTTAGGATCATCGAGGGCTAAGCCCAACCCATGTCCTCCCTCCGGAATGATGAGCACTTGCGTTGGCCGCTTGTAGACTGCCATGGCCTCCGCAAACATGAGCGTGTTATGTACAGGGACAGTGGTGTCACTGAAAGTATGGAACAGGAAAGTTGGCGGGGTGGTCGCAGAGACACGATTCTGCGCCGACAGCTCGTGCTGCAACTCCGCGCTCGCGTTGGCACCAATGAGGTTGTCTCGCGAGCCTTTGTGCGTGTAGTTTCCCTCAAGAGTGATGACGGGGTACGCGAGGATGCCAAAATCAAGACCAGCCTCAGGGGTGGTGAGTGTTACGGCAGAGAGATGGCCGCCTGCCGAGAAGCCCCAAATGCCGAGCTTGGTGGTGCGGTTCTGCCCTCTGATGTACTCGAGGGCGTCCAGTGCCTCGTTTTGGGGTGTTGGGTAGAGCGGTGCCGTTGCGTTTGAAATAGTAGTGTAGTCAAGGACCCAAGCATCGATGCCGAGCTTATTCAGAAACCCCGCAGGAATATAGCCCTCCTTTGATATGGAAACGCGCGCATATCCGCCTCCGGGACAGACCAGAACTCCGGTACCAGTCGAATTCTCTGCTGGGAAGTATGTGATTTGCGATGTTTTGAGTCTACAGAATTTGTTAGAACGAAGTAGTTGCCAACGTATTCTCCGATGTTCTTACCTCTTTACAACTCTGTGGGCATCGAGGGATCCATCGCTATTGACCTCTGTCGACATTACGACTGCACTACCGAGAAGGAACCCCCAGGCCAATGCTAAAACAGACTTCATATTTTTAGCTGCACCAAGAACAGTGTATAATCAGGGATTGTGCGTCTTGGCTCACGTCTTACTACAATGGTCGTTCAGCCCAGGAACGGCCGAACAGTTGAGTCTCTAAATATATATCAACAACTACCCCGGGTACCCCGCGCAATGCGGTGTCGACGTTCATACCTACCGACCTATGAACAGCTACTCCGGTTGTCCGGCCCCCATGTTTTTAATTGAATGCTGCACCTCGTCATATCAAAAACCGAAAGACTGTTACCTCACATGAACCTTGGTGAAATCCACCAATGGGAGCTTAGCACTAGTCAACTAGATCACATCATTATCGGCGCGCTAGAGCGTTCTTTTCAGAGTGGAATTTCTCGCGGTTATCCCATGTTAAGATTGTGGGTCAAAAGCTGGGGTTCGCGCAAAGTAACAACGACTCAATGACTTCTTTGCTAAACACTCTTCAGCGCGCCTATCAAGCCTCGAAATGAGATGTTCATGGGGAGATGTCAAATGCTATCAACGCTAATTCCAGAATCACTACCAGGAGGCCACCTGCGAACTTTTCTCAATTTTACAGAAGGAGTGTTAGTTACCTACTTCGATTTCGATACCGATATTTCTGGCATTCTGTGACTACCTAGCAGGATGAAAGCCGTTATGTCTGCACTTGACACGTAGGTTTCGGTGCGACTAGGTCTATGAGCCTATGGCCTATAATAAAGACCTCCGTCCAAAAGCTCATGTAATTGACGGGGCGGCTGTGAACCACAGCATGTTTAGAAAATCTTGCGATACTTGGTTATGTTTCCTTGAATACATCTTTGAGGAAGAGTAATGCTAATGTGTCATTTCCCTTATGATAAATAACATATGAAGATAAATGGGCGCTCAGGTACATATATCTGCATGTCCTGATCAGTGCAAAGGTTGAATGCCTCACTGGGACAGCAGGCCGAGGCCAGTGTGCAGGTCCCTAATCATACGCTTGTGAGGGGCCTCAGCCGCGCCACCGGTGGTAAGCACAGTGGCGTTTCTAATCATCTCGACCACCTTGAGGATATCCTCTTGGGTAACGGCGTTCTCTTTCTTAACCCAGCCCAACTCAGCAGGAAGGCGCTCGTTTTCTGCACGCCACATATTAGTCTACAGTTGTCTCAGGGAGCTATGCTTAACGTGTCTCTTACGGAAAAAGTATTCGACCAGTGTCTTGTTGACGGTTCCGGCGGTCATATCGCCAAAGACAATGATGGGGGCAGCGACTTCGCCAAGACTGAAGTTCTCCACAGTTGCAGTGAAGGTGTAGTTGGGGTTGAAAGCTCTTGAGGTGACCTGTCGTGCCAACTTGCTGTTGGCAAGCTGCTGCGCATCCAGGGTATCCTTTGTCCAGTAGGCTCTCGACTCGTCGAAGATGGATTGGTTGAAGACATGATTGTTGCCAAAGGCGGCATCGGTGCGACTATGGACAACATGTTAGTGTAGTTCAAATCTGAATATCCTCGTCGCTCTACAGCTCAAAGAAGAAGGACCGAAGCCTGGACGAGTCGAGGCAATGCTCTCCTTCAGACGGGCAGAGCTTAAACTTACCTCAAGCTAGCATCGTGCTCCAGGACATTGTGAACGTTGAGTTGGTCCCTGATACATGTTGGATTAGTGGTGCGTTGCGCCAAGAGTTCAAAGAGGCTTCTTACAGAGTGAAGAATGTGGCATTGGGTTCTGGGTTGGCAATCAGGGCCATGTTAAACATCAGGGTTCCAAGATCGGTTCCGAAGTTGAGACCGTCCTGAAGACCTTTCACAACTACGTCCTTCGTCAGGTTCTTGCCGTCGTGAGAGATGAAGCCGTGGTTGGCCAAAGTGTTCATCATTGGGCATGGACCACGGACTACATTATCAGTACTTGAAGCATAGATGTAATTCATCAAGTGAGTGTACTCACAGTCATCAGGTCCAGCAGGAGTCCACTCAGTGGGGGAAGCTCTACGGAACTTAGGGTTGGCCAAGTGAGCAGCAGCCAGGTGAGGATTGGCTGAGGCCACGCCAAAAGCAGCAGCGATGAAGGTAAAAGACTGCTTCATTTTGAGTTGCTGAAGATTGGTGTCAAGTTGAGGAGCTTAGAAACGAATGAAAGACAAGAGATTGCTATCTGTTGCCAATTTTCTTCCGACGAACCCTTCTCACAGTCTCATATTTATACTCAATAACGCCGAGAGCTCGTTGTACGTGCATCTCCCGCCCCCTATATTCGTTTCCGTTCTATCCAGAGACGACCATACATCATGGCGGCCAGTCCTCTCCTCTCACCGGGGCTATGTCGTTTTCCCGTCCATTCGCCCCTGATTCAGAATCATGCCAACATATCGATGTCCGCAGATCATCCCGTCCGAACATATCGGTATCGCTCCAAACTCCCCATCTACAACTCCACGGGAAATTTTGAGAGCCAATCAGAGATTGTATGATGACCATTTTGCATGGTTGTCTTTGCGGAGGTGGTGGGTGGTTACAGGCATAGGTGCATCTATTCCCAGTGAAACGCGGTGCCGCTCAGGCGTTGCCGAGCCAGCCTATACGCGGAGACAGCTTTACGATACGTCATGGCGACCTACTACAACGCACAACACTAAACATAAAGACATTCAAATACGCGGAGTTTGGAAACGAACTACGAATTCTCAACAGAAATACCACGACACCGCTCATTTAGAGAGTCCAGCCAAGCGGTCAACCACGTTGCACGTCAACATCCGTCTGAAACAATCTGTTCCCGTCTACGACATTGCAGCCAAGCCAATGGCCGTAAGAAGCTTGTATTAGAGATCACGGCTATGTAGGCCAAGCTTCAATACGCCGTACGTATAGGAAGAGCCAATCACAACCGCTAAGCTTCAAATCCACTTCCACGTATTCACGTGGATCGACAAGACCCCCGTCCACCTTTAATGTTATTCTCCGGAAGTATCGATATACCGCCAAAGTACGATAACTCCTCTGTACTAAGAGGCCTCGTTGGACTTCAGATGTCATCCAAAACAATGAAGAGGCTAAGCTTCTGAGCTAAAGCATCACATAGCCTCCAGCTTCCGGTACTTCAATCAACCTGCAGCCCTAAAGTATCGCGCGATCCTCATAAACCTGAATCCGGCAAGCATTCCGTCGTCAACCTCTGACGTGCTCGACAAGAACTTAACCCCGTGTTTGAACCATTCAACGCCCTCCGCCTCCCACGAGTGGCACTAAGAAGGCTGAGCCTAGTCACTTCCACGAGCACCGATTCGCCGGCGTGTATCTCACGGGTACCGCATTCGAGGCCCGCCAACTTCATGCGATTCGAAGCAAGGCTGACTTGGGAGGGGCGGCGGACGGTATCGAATCTCTCCCAAACTTCGGGCTCGGTTTCGGCGTCGGTTTCGGCGACTATCTCGGCCAGCGGCCTCCGAGTGCGCCTTGATGCGGTGTTCTGCCGTCTCCTCGCGACGACAATAACAACGGACTACTCCGTCTCCCTTCCGTCCCGGGAGAGTAGACACGGGGGAGATTCGCCTTTGATGACCACGACGCCACCGCCGCCCAGGTATCTGTCTTGTCGGATACCCGGGACCAGATACACCACCCCTTCGAATTTGGTCAGCGGACTTTGGAGATGAAGCTAATGCTAAGGCCGTGGTTAGTCAGGGGACATCAGAGATTTGACAGTCCGCCGTAGCAATGAGAGCCAGCTCCGCTGTCATTGAGAGTAGGTCAAGATGGGCTAGTAGAAGGCATCTACGGACCGACGACCCAGCGTCTGGGCAGCAGAGTGTGCCTCCGACAACAATGCCCCCGAGATTGGTCCTCTCGAAGATGAGTCGACAACAAGGCTCGACGTAGCGTGAGGACTTCCGCAAGCCATCCAACGCTATATGACACACCGAAGAAATATTGTATGGCACTTCGTCAGCAACACGGGGATCACCAGGGATCGGCGCGGAGGAGGATGAAGATGCGGAAACATCTTTCGGGCACCAGAGTCTGACATGATGCCGGCCCAGATTCGCGTCTCCGGATTGGGCAACATACGGCTCATCTCAACATTTGACAGCTGAGCCAACAAACCTTCACACCCACAGAAAAGACACGCCTGGCAGTATCCCGCCGCATCGAACTCACCCTACCCTCCCATCCCACCAACCGACAGCACATCGAGCACTAGTATCCGACGCATGTATCCAGCCCTGTGCCGCAGAACAGCACGATCAACCACGTGAAGTCGAGATCCGCGATGACCATCACCAACTACACAGCCCGCCGGGCCGCGTCACGCAACGTTCGGGAAGAGGGGGGCTGACTGAGCACCACCCTCGACAGAGATGGCGGATCAAGGGAACGTGAAGTCGTCGCTCTGACATTCAGGGACCGTCATCATCGTCAGCATTCTGCGACGCTTACATCAGGCCTGAGGGATGTAACCTTGAGCAACTTGACTAAACTCGTTGTCGGATCGATTCGAAAGAGCCTCTCCCATACGTTTACTCGCTATCGCCAAGCCTCACTTACGATACCTCGTTTTCGTCTCTGTCCACCGTCCACTGGCCGGCCTTGCTGTTCACACGGGGCTCTTCACAGTCAGCAACCCCCGAAACACCTCGGAATTCCGCATCTTCCTCGCACTCCGTCTCTTGCGCGGCCCGACCATAGAGTAAGCCCGATCGCATCGCCAATGATCTCAACCTAAGCCTAGCCTAATGAGGGACGTCGTAGAATAACCTCCCTCCCACGCGTTAATTCAGACTGTCAGGCTGCCGGACCATTCCAGAGTCCCAATATCAAATGAACAACAGTAAACAAGTGCCGGAGTTCCACCAACGCATCCCAACCTTCTAGACCAAATGCCTCTCCCCCTTCACCCCGCAAAAACGAGAGCCTAGAATCAACGCTAGACGCTCATATGATGGGTCTAGCCCGACTATAATCGGATCCGGACCCTACGGCCTTGGTCTCTCCCACATCACCCGTTAGGGCTGGAATGCCCGGCGCCACCAATCTCCAACACCAATTCTCTATCCCTCTCCTACTCCTAACCCACATCAAAAGTTTTGCATGATGACGACGTCCGCTACGGCCATAACATCCATAACCAAACAACAAACCCGTCCGCATCTGACAATAAACGTGCCTCCCTCCGCCCACTGACCCCCCTTCCCCGTTCTGAACGGGGTGAGTGAAGATGTGGACCCGGTGTAGTCCCATACCGTAACAGCACACGCCCACTATGTGAACGCATCATACCCACCCAAAGACCACTGCCCTTCCGCACACCCTCCCCCCCCCCCTTCACAGCCCAGTTGAGATGTCCCAGGTGCTAGTAAGGGCCCCGTCGCCCCATCGGAGATTATTTACGTAGAGTAGACTGGGCAGCAGGGCAGACTCAGGGCCAGGGCACCGGTCGAGCAGGAAGGAGTACAGGACGCTCAAGGGTTGAAGGGGGTGCGATGGCATGGACCGCATGGTAGGGCAAGGCGGCGCGGACGGTAAGGATTCTCTGGCTCAAGGAGAGGGGGCTCAGTTTTCACGCTCATCTTCCTGACGAGGAGCCCTAGGGCGCAGGGTGAAGATGGGATATGGGGAACAAAGTTTAAGCCGTCCGTCCCATCGCCTACGCGCTCGAAACTTGAGCCGCGGTTGTAATGCGCTGGGGTGGTTCCGGGGGAGTGAATAGTGCCAAGAGAGGGGGCCCATCCTCTTCTTTCGCCGCAGTGTCGGACCAAAACATTATTGACCCCAGCACCAGGGCGAAGGAGAAATTGCCAAGACATTTGCACCTCCAACGTCAACCATGGTAAGCGACCCCTAACTTATGGAGTACGGAGCACATTGTGGGCGATTGCGTACGCACGCTGCTTTGATATCGAGACATAGTTTACATAGCAATCGGGGCTAGTGTTAGTCACGCGTGGGAAGGTAGTAGCAGCAGTAGGAAAGTTTAGCTTGTTGAGATTGATTTGCGGCGATTTGTCTAGGATGAACCAGGCCGAGAAGGGGGCTATCCCGATGAATAAGTCGCGAAAATCGTAAATTGTCACCCTTTGAACGGCACTAGCAAACGGCACTACTGCTTCACACTACACTACATCCGAGACGAACCTCCGTTCCTGGTCCCGTCGTTAGAAGATCCCCATTTTCCCAGCATCTAGCTAGTTTCCTTGATTCCTCATGGCATCAACTTAGCGGGAAAAGTACCCCTTCTCCGATCCCTTGGATGCCTCCCTGCAAGATGCAGGATTGCAGTGGCAGATTTGACAGGTTTACACGTACCATTGAGATAATGAGTGATACGCAGCCTAGTTATTACGGACCCGCGATATCTGACTCAAATGGCGAGCGTCATCGATCCCTATCGGTAAATGATTACTTTGTATGAGGAAATACCGAGCCACTCCACCTGCGCGCACCGAGGTAGAGTGGAAACGTGAATGACAAGTGTCAGCAATATACGGATGCAAAGCAGTGTACAGATATTACGCATACGTGACAAAGTTGGTTTAATGCGCAAGAAGAACACGAGGTTGTGCGAATCAATCGCGCTCTCTCACACCCGTAGACGAACCACAGTTGCACGACCTCGTGGCAGAAGATGGGATGGCTCCCGCAGTGGAACCATCATCCCTCTTGTTCTTTCGGAATTCCCGTCCGTACCATGAATGATCAACAGAGACAGACTGCAAAGTCACATAGAGAGAGATGGAGAAGCCGGACAGAGAGAAAGTTATGAGAGTCAGTTCTCTGCAAAGTTGGGACGGTTACATCCCCTCCCGCGCCATCTTACGAACCGTTGACAAAGCATTGTCGTTTTGGAGGTTCCTGGTCAATGGAGAAGAGCAGCAAAAAAAAAAAAGAAAAAAAAAAAAAAGAAGAAGCGAAAAGCATGCCCCCGTATAGCAACAAACCCCCCAAATGGCAATGGAGTAAACGAAGTATCCAGCAAAACTGCAACTCTACGGCACTGCCTTTTCGCAATCCGACCCAGAAAAGATGCACTCGCCTTACTCATTAACCCAAATCTACCCGGCCCCCCTTTCCACTCTGACAGGCACACAAACAGCGCTTAGGAACGACCCACTCGACCCTCCCCCCTACCCCAGGCGGGTTGGGTGCTCCTTGACCAGCTATGCTTTCTCCTTGTCCTGAGAGTATCCGTATGGAATACCTGAGTCTTTTCTCTACCACCTTCCCTGACTGTTCGGTTAATGCCGAACATAAATATTGGAATATCGCCAGATACGGCTCCTCTTCTGCCAATCTGCCCCTGGGGAATATGACCCAAATGCAGACAGAGGAGGCGCAGCAGAGAACACCCCGGTCTTATATCTCCTTCTTCAGGCAGCGATATTCATTCAAGTCCCGAGCCGATCGTAATGACGACACAACTCTTGATCCACCAACTCACATGGGAAATGGGGACGAGAAAAAGAAAAGATTGCAAAGGGGGAAGGGAGAGGGGATGGGAGAAGAGAACGGATACTGGCGAGAATACAGAAGTCCCGTTGTCAAATCAAATCGTCCCCATTATACGGAATTCGCTCCGGACCTGGCGAATTTACGGATACTCAGTTGAGCAGGAACTCAAGAGAGGCTATGCCCATGTAGGACCTGTGAAAGACAGGCTTCGGCATAATGCAACCCCGGTAGTATCCTCAAGGTCATGTCCGGACTTCTTCAATGTTATTCACAATAATTCAATGCAGTATTACATGTCTGCAGACTGATGACGGACGACCCTCTATCACCGACTACCTTGGACGGAGCTGACGAGGGCAAACGCTCAAAGGAACTGATGACCCAATAAGTCAGCTCGATGTGGCTACGCCTGATCCTAGTTCAAAGAGGGCTTGAAAGGAATGATCAAAGAACAACGGAAATTGTTGATAATGACCGGAACTGTACTGTTGCTAGGTTGGATGCTTTGCGCCGGCGAAGACGACATGCATCAAGAACCTGTACGCCTAGGCGACATGGACCTCCGTATCCGGTACACGGGGTATGTAACGTAACGAGCTCCAAGCAGGAAAACCCCATGTCTCAAAAGAAGAGCAAATTCTGTATCATTTGAAGATGGAATGATCTTACAAGAGAATGCCTCTATTCAGTCTTAGATGCGAAGCCACCGTCCCCGGAAGTAGATCGTCGTCTCATTAAACACAACTTATCCGCTCCTATAAGCCTTTCATGATAGAGCCTAGCCACTCGATAACATTGAATAATGACCAAAACTCATCAGTAAAGTAAACAAAGCCAGAGATATAGAAAGATACCTTCCATCAAGCCATGTGGTCGTTATCGAAAAGAGAGCCAGGGAAAATGATCACTAGACTCGAGATGAACAAAGATCGACCTCGACCAATCAAAAAAAAAGCAACCAAATCGTCGCAAGCCGTGGGGGCCATCGCCGGGAAAACACTTTCTGGTCCGTGTCGTCGCGGTCATCGTGGTTTTGGTATTAGTGTAAAAGCTTCAGAAAACGTGTGCCGTGCCAATGGTTGATGAGACGGATAGTAAGTACCATACCATATCCGATCTGAATCTCCCACCCCAGGGTCCAGTGGCAGGGCTGTGTGGTTTTAGTGTAGACACTTTCTTAGCGCGTACTTTTTCGTTTGTGGCCTGCCTCATTGAACCTCGGCGGGTTCTTTCTCGACTTGCCAAAGTGCGGTGTGAGAGAGTTTTCAACGTAAGCAATACACTACTCGCGCTTCTATTTTGCCATATTACACGCCGTCGGGCGGCATCTTCCCGCAAGGAACATCCCCCCTCGAGAGAATGCCTGCCAAAGCCTAAAGAACAGTCAGCAGCAGGACCTGCAATGCACAGTACTTGTCAGGTCCCCGTGACGTAGTATCGAGGATCACGAAACTTGAGCCCGTTTTCGTAGTTTGCCCATTTCCGAAAGTCTTGATTACACATCTAGCACAAAGGGTCAGCGGTAAGCCACGAGGTGATTACCATTTTTTGAACCCCGTATGTCCCCGTGGACCGTGGCTCCCGTGGCTCCGGAGATGCAAATTCGCGGAGAAGCGTACTATCGTCAAAAAGAAGACGGACGCTGAAGAATGTGGAGACTTGTAGCTCCAGTGCTCCATTCATCCTAAAAAAGGGCCGAGCATGCTTGCTTCTCAAATCTTGGAAACAGATGATCGAGAATTTGACGGTATTCTCCGTACTACCAGCAGTCTAACCCTGCACAGTAAGCCCGTCGCACCGCTGATCGCTGCGTGTAGTGTAAGTATGCAGTAGTAAGTATCTTTGAGCTTCTGAACAAGCCCGGGCCCCAAGATAGAAGAAGGAGGCTTGTCCGTAAAAGGCGTTTCATCCTCATCACCAGCATACGGGATCATCGCCCTACGGGTACGCAGGTTGCAGGCGCACTACATGTAATGCCGGGACCGCGTTGCGCAACGGGACACCCCTTCGCCCGCAAGGCTAAGGCGGTTCGTACTCGTTGTCGTCGTTGCCGTTACCATGGGTCATCGCATGGCATGGCATGGAAGCGTGTATTCGTACGCCCGGGCGGGTTTTCCTCCCCCCCCCCTTCCGTAGGGACTTAATCACCGTCTGTCCTGCGTCCTTCAGGCCTGCAGAAAGCGCAGAACTTCAATACTTCAGTCCGTCTCCCCTTGCCCATGTCCCGGACGAACCCTGCGGTCCTGCCTTGCCTTGCCCTGCCAGCCTGCCCTGCCCGTAACCCCGTTGAACTCGGCCCCCAAACCGCAATGTCCACAGGGCACAAACTCAAAAAGAGTGCAAGACCCCTTGGATGATCCATCCGTATGTATCCCCGACGTGGGAACGGGTTTTTTGATGGAGCAGCAGGCCCATACTGCGTAGGCACCTGGCCAGGACAGGCACCACGGACAGAGCCCAGGGCCAAGGTGAAGGCGAAAGACAGAAAAACGAAATGGTGCGGCAGCAGCCCTCTCTTTCCCTATCCTATCCGTTCCGTATCCGTACTCCGTACTCCAAGGATCAAGTCAAGATTTCGCCGATTGATTACCTCTTGGCCCTCCCTCCTCCTCGGCCGCCCCAGGGCGTCCTATCCGTGTCCGTATCTTTGCTCTCTGGACCGGACGAACTGAACCATACTTCCACCCCCTATTCGTGTTATGGCATCGGGCAGAATCAGCCTTGGTCAGAATCTGATATACACACTTCCGCAGGGTTCAAAGGTCTCCGGGCGCAGGTTCGCTGACATGCCCTGATGATGGAGCAGTGTAACAGTGTAAGAAAAAGCAGATTTGACAGGGGACGAGACACTACGCATGGGGAATAGTTCGTGCTTTTGGTCGCGTTCCGACTCCCCATGGAAGTTGAGCTTTGATGTTGCATCGGAGAATGCAATGATGGGAAGAACCCCGCGCGTAACGCTGCCTTGCTACTCCATTTGTGCCGGCACTGGCCAGAGAAATGCTTGCAGGATGCCAGTCGTCAATGGTCAGCAACAATTGTTTGGCCCTAAGCATTCCGTCTGGAATGGACTCCTGGGGGCGAGGCCACTCGAGCCAGCTGAATCACGGATATTGCCTCGTCTTTGGCATTTCTTGTCTCCAGACTCTGGCGGTCGACCCCCGTGCCCACCCCCTTGGAGTCCGAGACTAGTTCGCCTATACGACCTTCTCGTGTTCTTCCAGAAGACGTCTAGTAAAACCTCGTACAACCAGTACAGGTTAAGTAAGCAACAGCATACAAGAAGCGAGAATGGGTGGGTGGTGGACACTGGGCACTGGTCCCCGTGTCCGTCCCCCGTTCAGCCGAACCTTGACCCGCTGCTGTTGCTGCTGCCTCTCCTCGTCATGTGGGGACCTCGAATGCTTGGAAAACCTGAAGGTTCGTGCTTTGCCAAAAAGCGTAGGCCTTCCGCCCTGCGCGGCCCTACAGGCGAAACGTGTGACATGTTCCCAACTGAAGGGTTAGCGCACTGCACTAGCGGTAGACGGACCCTTGGCGTCGTGTCCCAGGCAGAGGACTTTACCTACATAGCTGTGCGGCGTGCCTGTGGCCGGTAGGGCGGACAGTGCGGGATCATTGATCAGCGCGTCGTGGTTGTTGACGCTGCCAGAAGGTTGAAGCCTTTCCCAAACAGGAGGGCATCCCCGTCCTCGACCTCGGCATGTCAGGGACTGGCTGGGAAGAGCCGGGCAGAGGAGGAAAGGAGGGGCGTCCAAGGGGAGAGGGGGTGAGAAAAGAGGAGTATTTTTCTCAACTCGCGATTTACCACAGTAGTGCAAGCTGCGAGAGAGAGGGACCAGGTCCATACCGTGGTGTGTAAACCCAGGCCAGGAGCTGTGGTTAGTCGCCGACCGTCTCCCCCTGGCTCTTGACGAGCCTGCGACGAGCCTGCGAGCGATCAATCGCTTCAGGTCAGTGACATCGTCGCCTTGCCGAATCGGGTTATAGATTCGGGCAGGGAAATGAGTTGCTATCGCGGCCTTTCAAACCCTCATATTGCAGCTTCATCATCGCCGTTCCAAGCTCTCAAGGGATGAGGTTCCAGGTACCAGATGGGAGGTTCTGCCGAAATTGAACTCAAAAATAAGCACATGAAACCCCGCCGTAGTTAAGTGCATTCGAAGCTTTCCCTTGACCGGGTAGTTGTCCAGATAGGAGAAAGAGAGCGAGTGTACCTGTCAGAAGGCGAAAAAAAAAAAAAAAAAAAAAAAAGCAAGACAAAGGTTATCAAATAGCGATACATCATAAAGGGAGCCCTCGCAATGCTAGGTCAGAGGTTCAATAAAAGGCTGAATATGACTCGTCGAGAACACTCGCAACCTCCTGGACATTGCTTCTTGCACTGCCACACTCGTGCCGGTGATCCAATGTCGAATTCAGAGTAGAAGTATCCACAAACAGGGCCGGCCGGTCGGCGGCAGAGAGGGGGCTACCGGGGGAGGGGAGCAGGGCCATAATGCCAATCTCCCTAAAACGGGGGCGTCGCGGGATTTTATGTACTACCCAGTAGGAAGGGAACAGTTTAACAGCTAATAGCTGTGCAATCCGTGGGAGAGGTCGTCGTCCAAGGATGGGGGCTGCAAGGATAGACGAAGGAGATGATGGTTAGGGCTTCCGGCAGTCGAGACGCCGGTGACGGGACTCCAAGAGAGCAATACCTCCGGCCGGGACACCGCCGGCTATTGGCTGTGGCCCGGCGAGGAGCACGCGTAACCCATGGAACGCACACGGAGGCCCAGGGGCGGATGGGCAGCGCTTGTCCGTCTGGGAGGCCATTGACGAGCCTTTTTCCACCGGGTGCCACGCCATTGCGAACCCAATGCCGTGAGCGTGGTGCCTGCAAGGGGGGCCGTAAGGCTAAACCCTCCTCCGTCAGGAATTGTCCTTGTTGGATGAGGATGACTACTGAAATCTTGCTGCTGACAGAAACTTGCTTCATCATGGGCGGCTTGGTATTCCACAGACAATAGGCCTGCCCCGTCGAAAGGGGCACAGGGGGGGGCTGCTGCTTTTGCAAGTTGCCAATGCTCCGTGTGTGTCTCCGCCGCCACTGTACCGTTACCTCCGTGGACCGCGTAAGCACCGAAAGCCAGCCGGGAAAGCGACGACTGGACAATGAAGCAGTAGGACAACTTCCCGGCCGTTCACAACAAGTGTCCGGACAGGTCCAGGAAACATGCGCGTCGCAAGTTGATCTCTGCTTGCCTGGGTCGTTGCACTCGCGCCGATGTGAGGTTCCATCCCGGGTGTTACTGCTCCGGCATGGCTGATCGCTGGGCGCAGCTCGTTTGAACCGGAGATCTCAGGGGTGGGTTGGGTTGGCATGGGACAATGGCCGATACTTCCTGACGACTGGTCCCCCTCTGCCATGCTTCCATGCCGCCATGCCTCTCGATCGTCGCTTGTTGGTGTGAACCACCTTGACCAGAAGAATGACACTCTGATGATCTCGGTTGACCGGAGACACCCAGAGTGCGGCCAACGGGGCACTAGTGCCTAGCCAGCCCAACTGGCCCATCTCCATCATCCCTAGGCGGCTGAAAAACATGGTATAGGTAGTGTAAGTGGTGTAGAGGCAGCCGCAGCCAAGATGAAATCTGGGTTTTCAGAACGCCACCACCGCCTGTTCGGCGCAATTACACACTTCAGAACCCGAGGCATGGCCCTGTTCAGTTTTTGTTCTAGTCATGCCCCTCACCCAGTGCTACCGCGGGGCCCTTTGGGGCCAGGACGGCAGATCATCGCCGTCGATCCAACCAAAAGTCTCCTACTGAGGACCACCGTCGATGCGCCTGTCGTGCCCAATAAGGCTCCTCGACAGCGAGTCAAACTGCGCGACCTTGTCATGCAACGTCGTAGACTTCATATATGGCTAGTCATTCTTGGGCGTCTGTACTCGTATACCCACTTTATGGTAAGTGATGGTGGCACGACGTCTCGCGCAACTTGTCAACGATCTTGTTCAACTCGGCGCAAGTTAAGCGTGGAGAGCTGAAAAAGTCAGTAACTAAATGCTGACTGAAAGGGATCACCGACATGAGCTGATGACAGGCAGCCAGGCGGGTAGGCCACACGCAAACTTCCGAGATCCTTCTAGACCGCTTCCATGCGCTTGCCCAATGGGGCACTTTCTCCGTTCTCACTCCGTGTCCCGATGAAGAAGCCATGCCGATTTCCAGCTTTTTCTTTACGATGCCAACAGTTTGAGTGTAACGACCATCGACTTCGCACAACGCGATGCGGGTTACACGTAGTGACCAGGCTTCAGCCGTGGATCTAGATGCAGCAGAGCCCCCGAAACTATTGAACATGCTGGTACAGACACCCTTGAGTTGGCCACGTCAATACTCGAAGTGCCGATGCCTGTTCTGAAAACAAACACGAGAGTGACGAGACTCCTTGGACTTTTGAAAGTTATGCTCTGCTGTAGTGAAGTGGGGGCCAAGATCCAAACCAAGTCTCATTCACTAGGAGTTCGAACCTTGTACCAAAGGCAGCGATGCTACGAATACCTCAGCCCGTATGCCGTACTTGCTATATAGGCTCTTGCGACTGGCAAGGTGGGCTTGATGTCGGATATTGAGTGAAGAAGTGACACTACGTCCCCAAACAGTGATCTGTTGCTGAGGAAATGACTGATCGAGACCACGGAGGTGGCGATGCTGATAAAATGGGTCCGAAAGGCAGCAGATCAGCTTCAAGTAGTGAGTATCAACCCGGAAAGATTGAAGTCGATCAAGCTGTCAGCCCTGTCGTCAGGACCAACTGGTATCCTCCCGCGTGCGAGTTTGACGTCCCGAACGCCTGCCCCCGTGCCCGCCAAAACCGACACCTCGGTACTGGCCCCACTTCGCCCGCCGGACAACCGACTGATTCGGAAGCCTGACCGGCAACAAGATTAGCTTCACCTCCGTACGGACCTTGGCACTGTCTCGTGTTCCGGAGGCTTTGTTAGGGAACTGAGGTTCTCAGCACCTCTGCTACGTCGGATATGCGTCTGTAAGTCTCCATATGGGAGAGTTGAACTGGCGCTCTGTGCAATACAGGCCCAGGCGTGGCTCCGGCCGATGCACCGCTTCCTCGATGCCACCCTCGCCTCATAATAGGATCTCGCCTTTAGGTCATAAAGCGTGTATAAATATGCCCGGGGTACGAACTATAATCCCTGTAGTAGCCCCCATCCGAGGTCAGGCGAGGCGAAGCAAGCCAAATCGCTTGTATGGCAGGTAGCGTAGGGAGGACGTCAAGGTCCGAGGGCCTTTGGAGAGAGCGAATCAACCGCGGTCTTAGTAGACGCGAAGCCGACATAAGTGAGGCACCTCTATCGTAGCTTGTGGCATTGATAATGAAGGCAGCGAGGCTGGTGGAATCCAGACCCCAAATAAGCTGCAGATTATTTCGTCGTACTATTAGGGTCTTACTCGGATGCGTATGAAGTGCAGAATAGGAGTTCGCAGCCCGCCGTCACGGGAATAGCAAGCCATGTGCCTTCTGTCAAATTCGAAAACCGTTAGATGCCTTGGGCCATACATGTACCATTGAGTTCCGGAGGGAGCTGCAGTTGGATTTGTCGAACCGTCCGTTCGTTGGCTGCGGATACTGGCCACTAATAATGCTCCCTCTCAAGGCTGGTTGACGGAAAGACTGAGATTCTCATCTTTTCGTTGGTCCAGATACGCACCAGGACGATCGAAGGATCTTGTGTACAGACCCATTTTACCGTGATCGATGCTGCACCTAAAGGGCACAGTTCCTGCTGGGTGGCGGGCGAGAGGGGTACGGAGCGGGGAGATATGCTGTCAAGCCTTAGCGGCCGCATCCCAAGTGAGACGGGTAGGTAGGTACGTAGGTAGGCCCAAGTCATGTCAATATCCCCTCGCGATTCTCGTGCTGTTATGTCTGACTTTCTCGCATAATATGGCCAAGTGAGCGAATGGTGGCTGGGATTATGATCTTGCGACTGGATCAAGTGTGAGTCAAGTGAGAGGGAAGGGTGAAGCGACGGGCGTCTGCGTGCGCCGCAAGAGATGTCGGCGTGTTGACAGTTGGAGCATTTTATGCCGTGCCTCAGAGTTGCGAGACCTTGGGGCTTCAGGTCATGACGACTCGCGTTAGTTCGTCTTCAAGGCGCAACATGAGTCGCGGCAATTGAAAATGCGCATTGCCTCGACCTCGCAGGGCCATATTGGAACAGTGGTATTCTCGCGGCCAAAGCTGCAGTTCTTCACTGCCAGCTGCTTGCCTGATAATATCCCAGTAAACGAAGGATGCCTCGAAGGTGACAGCTTATAATCCTGGCAACTACCAACTAGTTGTACGTCTTTGAGTCATATGACCGCCCCAGGCAGCAGAAGAGGCCATGATGAGGGGGGGAGGTGGTTCGCGAAGGAAGTTGAATTTACCGACAGAACGGGCATGGCCCCGCTCATTGCTCGCCCGGCTGTCTTACAGACCGTGCAGACCAACTAGATGTCATGACAAGTCGGCCTGATGTACATGTACGCCTGCAGCTCTACTGGGCAGCGGCGTAGAATACATCAGATAAAGGGGCCTACAAAGAGAAAGAAAGGCATACCTAGACCGTTAGTGTTGAGGCGTCTGAGACATGGATACAAGCAACGGTGCGCCTTCATCCTGCTCAGCACGCCACTTTTTGATGGTACTCTACATGAAAGTTGAGCCGTGCCGGCAGGCATGGTCCGCAATGTACTGCCGTCGCAGTGTCTCGTGTCAGCATGTGTATGCATGTCGCCTGAAGGGGCAACGCCACATCCATCCTCGGCGATATCTAGTCACTTTCTGTTCAGCCCTGTATCCGTAGGTACTTGCGGCTGCTTGCAGGTCTTCGGTTCCAGGATGAGACTGTAGCGCCCGGATGCCGCAGGGCGCGAATGTCTTGTATTTCATCGGGCTAATTGCCAATCGGCATGGTTTGAGATTCCGATAAGCTGCTTGGACGAGTGGAAGAATTGGTCTTTTATGCCAGTGTGTCCGCGTTCTCCGCTGCCACAGTGCGACGTTGCGGGATTCCCATGAA